AATTGGTGCTAATTTATGAATTGTTTGCGCCATGCAACAATGGAAAAAAAAAATACACTCAACAGTTTCAAAATCCTCCCCACACCTGCCACAGATTGAGTCTACATACATTGCTCTGAATTTAAGTTCTGACTAGTTGGTAAAATACTGTTGTAGTATTTCCAGATGAAATGCTCCAGCTTTCCCGCCCCGAACTTCTTTTTCTCACTCTCTTAGCCCTATAAGCACCTGCACTGCCCTCAGCCAGATCCATACCCCTAATTTTTGCCTTGATTAATGAGTAAGTTCCTACCACGGTGAACATCCCCTCTTTCTTCTCGGTTTCACTTTCTCGACAATTAAATTGACCTACTTGAACCAAAGTTCTTCGTAAAACTACACATAATAATGGACTTGAGTACTCTTGTAATAAAGCAGTACCCAATGCAACTCACGCTCTGCTTCACTAAACTGGGAAGGATTACCATCCTAATATGCATAAACAATCACATATTACAAATAAAACTGGATTGATGATTACAAGCTCAGCTATCTACTGTTCTTTAATTGGTACAAACCCCGCCATGGGTTACACCTAATACAAAACTCTACGAATTTTCCATTACTTTAGCACAACAGAAGGCAGCCTGAAAGTAGAGCTTCTGGAATGGAAAATTCAGACACAAATATGTGGTTTTTCACCTCCCCACCATTTTGCAGGCAAATAAAATTTAAGCCCTGTGAGTGGATCATAGTTACCACAAGCTGAAAAATCATCAGATTTTCTTACAAACACCACTCGAAATAACGACATGAAACAAAGCACTCCTGACAAATCCATCCACACTGCAAAACCCAGCGGTCTCTATTTATCTGCAAAAACAATAAAAAAAACTACAACCTAAATCACCATACAATCTCACCATAGCAGGTTTGGAGTTGGAAACCGATTCACTTCTAGAACATCCTATCTTCTGTTCTTTTCTTTTCTTTCTTTATCTTTATATATTTTCTCTCTAAATACAAGTCTCATAGCTGAAGAGCCAAATCCGGTTGCTGAGAGTCAACCAGCAACGCCGATGACGGCCTCCCAGGCGACCCTGACGACTGAATCCCGATATTCAAATCCGGGGGATATTTCTCCTGATTTTGCATCAGCTGCATTTGGGGGCTGATACCCCGCCAGGTGGATGACTGCATCTGCAGCCTCGACATATCAGAACCTGCCATCTGTGGGAAAACCGACCGCTGGTTCTGGAACTGCAAGATCTGATTATTTCCCACCATCACGGGCATCTGCCCTTGCCCAACAAAACCATAAACGGGCAAAATATTCGAAATATTCTTCTCTTGTAGTGCAGCGTGCTGCAGCCTAGGAGCATGAGATTCCCCATGGAATCTCAATGCCTGTGACTGCATTTCCCGGGTGGTGTTATAAAGCGAGTCTGTGTGTACCTTGTTCACGTTCTCGGGAGGCGGCCTGAAACCACCAGTCCCCACGGACATCCACGCACGGGCAGCTGCTAAGGCCGCGTTGTTCAGGTCGTTTCCAGCGGAGGCCTTGGGAGAGGACTGGTTTGGAGGCTTCGGTTGGCTTTGGCGAGCCTTTTCCGACAGCTGTTGCATTAGCTGCACAGGGTCACTGAGGCCCGGACGTGGCTCGTGGTGAGAATAATAGCCCGTGGGTTTTCCCATACCAGGGGGCGGGCAGACTTTAGTATTGCCATCCGCTCCATAATTGTTAACTAATTTCCAATCGGGTTGTCTTTGAAAAGCAGGCCCATTGGGGTCCGGCTGTTTAAAAGGTCCAGGTGGAGGGAAGCTGATGTTTCGTGGAGATCCAGAAACTTCTGCTTCCAAACCTCTGGGAATCTGTCTGTTGCCGACATGGTCAGTAGAATTCTTATGTACTGAAGGAGGACAGCCATTCGACTCAACGTGCTTTGAGAATTTTTTGTTGTTGGTTTCAAAGATAGAACGTGATTGTAAACTTTGATGCTGGTAGTTCGGATTGTGGGAACCGTTGGGGCCAGCCGCTGGAGATAAAAAGAACTGTGACTTAGTCTCTGCAATATTATTCCCTCCAGTTGGCCGAGCAGTTACAACTGGAGGTGTTTTGCTCACGGCGGGGTAAAAAGGTGGCAGCTTGTTTACTGGCAAAGGCAAGCTGACTGGGTTTTCTGTGACCAAGTTAGAAGGGAATTTTTCCAACTTCCTAGAATGAGCATTGGGCTGTACTTTGGCGAAAAAAGGAGGCTCCTTTATGGTGTGGTTTTTGAGCATTAATATGGGGGTTGGAAGCGGCTCGTACTCTCCAACCCAACCCTGCCCGAACTTCAACCCTTGGGGCAGAGCCTGTTCAATCCTCTTAGAAGCAACTGTCCAGGCAACGGACCCAAGGGTTGCTGCAAAACGGGCCAGACTCCTCGCGTACGAATGATCCGCATAGACCCCTACCTGATTTGTCGAAAATGGAAACAAGTAAATAAAATAAATACACAAAAATAATAGGCATGAATTTGCAAGACGAGATCATGAAGATTTTTACAGGAACCAGCTGTTTGGTTTCTCCATCAAAAGTCGAGAATATCGAGTTCGGGTTGACCACAGCTTCAGATAGAGATATGGTATATGTTGCACGACGGTTTTCTTCATATAGAAAGGGTTTCCTACCAAATCGAGACGGTGTACCATTTCCTACAAGGAGAATACCCATTTGGTTACCCCAGAAGTACAAAGTTGAATAACTAAACTAAAACAATAATATATAATCATAGCAAGATGAAATATATCCAAAAATGGGTCGTTTTTACACAATCAGCTATTGATTTTTGTGCAAGAGGCTTAAATTACAAGATACAAAGAAATAAAATAAAATGGACAGAAAAACCTGGCAATGATTCATCAATCTTGTCTAAATTGCTATCACTGCAGAACGAAATACCCTCAGCTGGCCCATCAACAATACCAGGTGTTTGAAGTGCATTTGAGACATTATGGTTATCGCCAGCAGTGGCAAGAGTAGCTCCAGAAGAGAAATCCGAGCCCACTGGTTCTTGCATCAGTGGTCGACCTACAGGCCTTTTAATCTGCTTCTTCAAAGTAAAGCTGGATCTCGACTTTTGCTCAGGTTTGATCCCTTTCTCCATGCGTTCCATGTTTAATCTTATCTTTTCGAATTTCCTTTTTGCCAGCTCTTGGATGTTGCGTGCCTTATCAAATCAAATATAAATAAGTCAACGGATGCCTGAGAGAATCATGACAAAAGAAAATGAAAGAGTAAAGGATTTTTACATGTTTGTAGTATACAGTATCCGGTGCATTATATTGCATCGCATTTGAGCAAATGAGGAAAACATCACTCTGCAGCACATGGAAGATATAATCATGAAAGAGAAAAGGATTAGTAAGGGAGCCTTGAACTTTGATAACACAATGATATGAAATTTATTGATGGAAGATATACACAAAATTTAATTCGAGGTTGTGGAGATGCTACAAGCACATTGTATGAAAGGACATCTGATGGAATAAAAATCATCAAGCAGGTACTTAGATAAATTTAACATTTCCCATGCAATACAACAGTTGATGAAAAACATCTCAAGGCATCTAGCAAGAACAGAAACCAGGGACAAGCAATTTTCACTTCAACAGAATGATCAATATAGATCCAATATCATGTTCACGGTGGGGGGGAAAGGTGGCCCACAGGGAAAGACCATGCGACGATAACTTTAGAACAATATCTATTTTGATTAATTTATTAATGCAAGGGCTAAAACATCTGCAATAGTAGATTTGGTGTAATTGCTTCAAGTCAGTCTAAGATCAAATAATATCATTTGACACATCATAGTTCTAAAGTTCCAGAACAATAAGACATTATTAGTTTTCACAAACCAGCATCACCAAAACAAATCACACAAAAAATTTCTGATCGCCAAACCATACAAGGACTGATAAAGCTTAATGTACACGAATATCTCCAAGGATTTAGCGGTGGATAGGAGCGTTTGGAGGCTAGAGATCTACGTGCCGGAACCGTGTTTTTTGCTCCAATCTCTTCCTTTTGTTTTATTTTTTATTTTTTTTTAATATTTTTTTTACCACTGTTTCTATTGGGTTTCATCTC